ATTGACTTGTGACGGGGTTACGTCCTGAAAAACTCATTGTTAAGTTGAAAATATCATGTCAAAAATGCATTTAATACACCTAACCTACTGAATACCATAGCTTAGCCTCGCCTACCTTAAACATGCTTATAACACCTTTGCCTACAGTTAGGCAAAATCGTCTAACCTGAAGACTATTTTACAGTAAAGTGTTGAATATCTTATGTAATTTATTGAATATTGTACTGAAAATGAAAAACAGGGTGGTTTTGCACCATTGCAAAGTTGAAAAATTGTAGGTTAGGGCTGGCCAGTTAGCTCACTTGAGAGAGCATGGTGCTGGTAACACCAAGGTCAAGGGTTTGGATCCCCTTACCAGCCAGCCATAAAAAACAAACAAAAAATATAAACCTCAGGAAAGGGGGAGGGGGTGGGGCATTAGCAAGAAATTGGTAAAGGGCCACAAAAATTATTATATTGTGTAATGTTGGATATACTAATTATCCTGATTTGAGTATCACATATTGCATATAGGTATTGATATTCAATGCTGTACCCCATAGATATGTACAATCAATTATGTCTCAATTAAAAAAAAAGAAAAATCATAAGTTGAAAAATTGTAAGTAGAACCATCATAATTTGGGAACCATCTGTGTAGTGAACTCTCTAAGTTCCACATGTGAGGATCTCTCAAGATGACTTGCACATAATACTTTTTGATTTGTTTGTGAGTACTTCTGTGCATCTAGGCATCATGCTAATGGAAATCTAAAATAATGTCATGGAGATATTTCAAAAACATTAAGTATCAGGTGAATCATCAAGATAAAATTAATACCAAGTTCAAAGGTTCGGATCCCTGTACTGGCCAGCCACCCCCACCCCCCAAAAAAGAAAATTGTGCTTACTGTAGTGTTATCTTTAAACACAATGAAATTTTAATTCTCTCAAGTCAGTAATCTGTATTTGATACATACAGTAATACTCTATGAATAAGAATATTTAATTAACTGCAGCAACCCATTGCTCGACTTTATCAGAATTTGCTTAAGAGTTTTGTTTAACCCCTCACATCTAACAGTCTTCCTTCTCTCAGTAAGCTTTCTATTCATCAAAGCCTTAGAATCATACACTATTTTAACTAAAATATCTTCTGAAGGTAAATAAAAAAGCCCTTTTCTTATTCCTCACCCACTGCTATCACATGCGTGCGCATGCACACACATACACTGTGAATTTCCCTTATTGTAAGTATGAAGTCCAGCCTACTCTTTCTTGTTATGTTGATGTAGTAAAACAGTAATAAATTCTGAACATCAGGCCTAACAAAAAACTCCTCTTCTCTCATCCAAATTGAATTATCATTCATTGTGTTAGAAATACAATGCCCATTCTTGAAATTTAGCTATTTATATAAAGGCAGAAAGAACAATATTGTTGAAAATTATAGCTCTACTTACTCATGTTACCTTATATTTGTATAGTATTTTATAATTTATAGCAAAAGTACTTTTTGTGTAAGTATTTCATAACCAGATATGGGCCACAAAAAAAGAAGTGGTAATTTAACAAATGATAAATCAGATTTATACAGTAGGTTGGAGAACCACAAGTGATATAGTTTGTAGATTTTTTTTCCTTTCTTCAGAATGTCTTAAATCATAGGTCTTGTTAATAACCTGCTCAGATAAATATTTTTAAAATCCATAATGTTGGTTCAACTGTTTTAATTTAAAATAAGATAATTTAAAAATATTTCATACAGGTGTTTAATCAGGAAGGAGAATTCATGTTGAAGTTTGGCTCAAATGGAGAAGGAAATGGGCAGTTTAATGCCCCAACAGGTGTAGCAGTGGACTCAAATGGAAACATCATTGTGGCAGACTGGGGAAACAGCAGGATCCAGGTAGATTAAAATGCTAATTTATATGTTTAGAGCGGTTGGTATTGGTTAAAAGTGAAGAATTGGCTGTCCCCAAGCTGAAACGTTTTCCATTCTCCATTGGTTATAAGCCCATAGATAATCTCACCAGAAGGAACAAACTAAGCAAGATGGAATAGAACAAAGGCAATATATCAGCAGAGCAAAGCCCTCTAAGTCAGAGGTCTTTACATGTATCCCACAGACTTCGAAAGGGTTTGTGGCTACAATTCAAGAGGTCCATTGAGCAAAAATATTACATTAACCTCAGACCGAAAATTGTCATTTCCCTTAATTAAGAATATAGGCAACCATCAAAGTAGTTTTAGGACTTTGTCACCAAGAAAAGCACCAAAATTCTCATATTATATTATAGTTGTTGAAGACATCTCTAATTATTTATTATTTATGTTCATCACTACTTCAATTACAATAATGATTATGCCCATCACTATTTCTTGTTATTTGATGTGCTCACTAAAAAAACATACATATTACTATATCATAATTTGTTAATATTTTGATAACAATATTTTAATAGGATCATGTTTCTTTATAATCCCATGTATTTTATTTTATGCATTTAAAAACATTATTTTGCGAAATAATGCGTGAGTCAAAGAGGAAGTCTCAAGGAAGATTTTAAAATATAATAGGCTGAATGAAAATGCAAATAATGCATATCAAAATCTGTGAAATTTAGCAAAAGAAGTGCTGAGAGAGAAATTAAATGCTTATATTAGAGAAGAGGGAAAGTCTCAAAATCAGTAAGCTATAGGGCTAGCTGATTAGCTCAGTTGGTTAGAGCATGGCGTCACAACACCAAGGTCAAGGTTAAGGGTTCAGATCCCTTAACCAGCCAGCCACCAAAAAAAAAAAAAAAAAAAAAAAAAAAATTAAGCTCTCATCTCAAGAAGCTAGAAAGAGAAGAGTAAAACAAACCCAAAGCAAAGAGAAGGAAGGAAATATTGAAGAGAGGATCAGAAATCAGTGAAATTCAAAACAGAAAAACATAGAGAAAATCAATGAGACAGCAAGTTTGTTCTTTGAAAATATCAATAAAACCAACAAACCTCTAGCAAGACTGACAAAGAGAAAAGGCAAAAAACTAATATTATCACGGACCCTGCAGACATCAAAAGCACCATCAGGGAATTCTGTGAACACCTCAACATATATAAATGTGACAATATGAAATGGACAATTACTCAAAAAATACAAACTCTACAACTCACCCAACTATGAAATAAGTAATTTGAGTAGTCCTAGAAGTATTAAGGACATTTAATTCATAATTTTAAAGCTCCCTAGAAAGAAATGTCTACATTCAAATGGTTTCACTGGAGAATTCTACCAAACATTTAAAGAATTAGCACCAATTCTACACAATTCCTTCCAGAAAATAGAAGACAAGCTTCCAAACTCACTTTCCAACTCAGCTTCTGAAGCCATGATACCAAAACAGTACAAAAAAAGAGAACTACAAAGCAATACTCCTTATAAATATACGTGTAAATTTTCTAAACAAAATATTAACAAATAGAATTCAGCGATATCTAAAAATTCCTCCATGACCAAGTGGGGTTTATTCCAGGGATGCAAGGCTGGTTCAGTATTTGAAAATCAGTCTGTGTAATCCACCATATTTAAAAGTCTAAAGAAAAGAAGTCATAGCTCTTTGTCTATTGATGCAGAAAAAGCACTTGACAAAATTCAATACCCATTATGACAAAACTCTCAGAAAACCAGAAACAAATTTTTGCAACTTGATGAAGAACACCTGTGAAAACCTAGAGCTAACACCACATACAGGGATCTGAACCCTTCACCTTGGTGTTCTAACACTGTGCTCTAACCAGCTGAGCTAATTGGCCAGCGCTGAACACCATACTTAATGATGAAAGTCTGCATGCTTTCCCTTAAGTTTGGGAACAAGCCAAGGATGTCTGCTTTCACCATTCTTATTCAACATATTCCTGGAAGTTCTAGCCAGCACAATAAGGAAAGAAAAGGAAATAAAAAGCTTACAAATTGGAAAGGAAGAAATTTAAAATTCTATTTGTAGATAACATGATCATTTACATAAAAAATATCAACGAATCTACAAAAATGTTTAGAACTAATAGGTGAGTTCAGCAAGATCACAGAATACAAAGTCAACATGCAAAAATCAATTGTATTTCTATATACTACCAATGAACACAT